AAAAGGGACTCTGGGTGGAGCACAATACATATACAGCAAACATCCAATGAATTGCTCCCAGAGAATTCCCAGGATTTGGGGCTTGAAGACAACTTGGCACTTGCAGGAACTAATGAGCATATAGACAGGTAGGTGGAAATGAGCCAAAACAGACAGCTAGACCAAGGCCTTCGGCGTTCTGCCAGGCTTCGAGAGATAAGGATGAGAGGCATTCAGGGAAAATGAAACCAATGTCTGAGTGCTTGGAATGGCTTAATATGAGAATATAAAGTTCCACACATAGTCAGATGAAGCATCATTTTAGATTCCTGCTAAGTTCTTGCTCTTGTCTCATGAAGCCTTGCTTGGAAGATTCATGTTTAAGGATTTCTTGCTATATGGTTTGACTCTTTGTCTCGTGTGATTACTTATTCATGTCTTGGTTCAATGTTTCCCTGTTTCTTTGGATTTTATTAGAGAAATCTGGACTTTGTTTTTGAACTTTGCTGAACCATAGCTTAGACTAATTTGTTCCTGCTTATCTTCTCACCTAATTTGATTTATCTATTCCTTTAAAGTGTTTTTCTACTTTGCTGTTTTTACTTACCTTCAATAAAAAAGGATTGTTTTCCTACTCAGCGTGTGGTGTTTTAAAATCAGAGGGTTATTCCTGTTCTGGAGAGCAACACTTATTCACTTAGGTGATCCCTCGTAGCTCGGGGATGATGGTCCTGTTCTGGAGTGCAACAGGGTGGTCCTGGAATGTAACACCCGTGATAAGTGAGGGAACACTGTACGTAGATCCAATGCAAGCCCCTACTTAAGTAAGACTTTGGTTTTCCATTAATGCATGTGGTTTTCTAACCCCTCTTTCCTCTATTTCTCTTTTGAAAGTGCATCCCTGAAAAATACTTCTAATATTCACAAACACATTTATCATGTTGGCACTTTAAAAGAAAGCATTTGATGACAAGCTTGCTTTCTCCCTCCTCTGCTTCCGACTTGGTATCTCCCCACAAGCATGTTATGTTGTCTTCTGCCCCATCTACACTGCCAAGTAATGCAAATTGAAACTGCGATCTCTACTATTAGCCTAGATCTGATGATTCCCCAGCCCATCTCACCTAGTCATCTCTCTCTTTCCACCTCAACTTCCTCTGCTACAAATAATGTACAATACCCTTTTCCACATATTGTTGTCAGCTCTAATTTTAACCATCAGAAGCCTGGAATGTAAATCACAGTTTTAAAAGACATTTCAAGCATATTAGAACCCAGAGCCAGGAATAATATTTTGACAGGCAATTACATTTAGCAAAGGTTTTTCTCCCATGATGGTTCACTACACTACTTTCAAATTACTTAATGTTCTATTTCGGGACTGTATCTGAGGCACGTTTTTCGCTTAATATACCTGGTGTCTGTCTCAAGTGGCACGCATCTCCAACTGCAGAACATTGGAAAATAGAGTTCGGCGTGAATCAATCTGAGTCTTTTCTATTGTTACTTCAGAGAAAGCAAGATTTATGCATAGATTTATTCTAATCCTAATGATAACATATGCCTATTCCGGCTAGGAAAGCTTGGTAACCTTTACCTCTATGAATTTGTCCAATCTTTTTGGAAGCTATTAAAGATGGCAAACAATCACTCTGTCTTGTGACACCATATTGCATAATTTAACATGCTGCATGAAGAGAGAGAGAGATGTCTAGATAGATCTATAGGGCTTGCAGGAGCTCCCAGTGGCACAGCGGGTTAAACCGCTGAGCTGCTGAACTTCCTGAACAAAAGATCAGCAGTTCAAATCTGGTGAGCGGGTTGGGCTCCCGCTGTTAGCCCCAGTTTCTGCCAACGTAGCAGCTTGAAAACATGCAAATAGGTACCACTCTGGCAGGAAGGTAACAGCACTCCATGGAGTCATGCTGGCCACGTGACTTTGAAGGTGACTATGGACAACGCTGGCTCTTTCGCTTAGAAATGGAGATGAACACCACCCCACCAGAATTGGACATGAGTAGACATAATGTCAAGAGGAAACCTTTACCTTTCCTTATAGGGCTTGCAAATATTGCAGGAGGGAAATGCACAAATGTAGAGAGAGGATTTGCAAACATTTCAGAGGGAAATGCATATGTGAAATTAGTCTATATAATTATAGATCTATATCTAGCTCTGCATTGTTTATATAGGTGTTGGATGTTTGTGTAATTTTGTCAGTGCTGATTGTGTTTAAGAGCAGGCCAAGGTCTTTAGGCACTGCACCCAGTGTGCCGATCACCACTGGGACCACTTTGACTGGTTTGTGCCAGAGTCCTTGCAGTTCTATTATTATTATCATTATTATTATCATTATTATTATCATTATTATTATCATTATTATTTTACTGACACAAAAGCACAGTATGTCACAGCAAATGAGAGCTATATGCTGGATTTCATATCAGAAAATCACAAGTCGAACACTTCCCAAGTGTCTAGGACTGTATGATGTGTTTTTTATTTATTTATTTATTTACTGTCCTTGTATACCGCCGTTTCTCAGCCTAACTGGCGACTCAACGCGGTTTACAACAGAATATACAGTACACAGTATACAATTAAAACCGTAAAAAACATAATACACAATATTTCACATAAATCACAATCCAATACATCTCCTAACTAAAATCGTGGTCCAATTGCATCATCCATATTACCAATCCGTAGTCGACACATTCATTGCACCGAATTAACCAAATACCTGCTTGAACATCCAAGTTTTTCATCTTTTTCGGAATACCATCAGCGAGAAGGCTGATCTTACCTCCATGGGAAGGGCGTTCCAGAGCCGAGGGGCCACCACAGGAAAGGCCCTGTCTCTCGTCCCCGCCAGCCGCACCTGTGAAGCAGGCGGGATAGAGAGC